TCCTTGGTGGCGCCCTCGGCCTTGACGGCCTCCATGACCTCCGGCAGGACCTCGATGCCCGGGCGGCAGGTGTCCAGCTGGCGGCCACCGTGGTTAGAGAGCACGCAGCCGGCCAGACCAGACTTGAAGGCCATCACTGCATCCTCCGCGCACTGCACACCCTTCAGCAACACCTTCATCTTGGTGATGCTCTTGAGCCACGGCACGTCCTCCCAGTTGAGGCCAGGGTCAATGTAGCTGCTGATGGCTCGGGTGGCGCCCTGCGAGCGGTCCACTGCACCTTCGTCCTCATCGTCGCCCTGCACGTCGGAGCCCTGCTGGGTGAACTTGTTGCGCATGTCCTTCTCACGGCGGCCCAGCTGCGGAGCATCCACGGTCACGAAGAGCGCCTGCACACCTGCTGCCTCAAGCTTTGCAACGTACTCCTCGCTGCGGGACCGCTCCGGGTTCACGTACAGCTGGCTGAAGACCACCTGGTCCGGCGTGCGGGCCGCCAGCATCTCGTCCAGGGTGTAGCTGCTCAGGGTGGGCAGCATGTACGGCACGCCCGCCTTCTTGGCGGCCTGGCAGAATCAGAGTGCTGCGCTTGCCAATGCAAACGGGCTTCCATTGTTGATGGTTGATTTAGCATGCAAGGCCAGTTTTCTGTTTACTGCCTTGTCTGTGCTTCCCGGTAGCTAAGCTTAGTGAGGATCAACACGGAGTTCTGCAGTGCGGTCAGAGCCAAAGATGTGAAAAGCTCGTGAAGTTATCTGGGAGTCTTGAAGATACATGATGTTTTTTGTGAGAATGTTGGGGGCTCAACTCAGACATGTGATATTATAAAGCTTACGCGGCACAAGGAATGGCAATAAAGGCAGCTGCCTGTTGTCTGGGCTCCTTCCTCATAGACTAAACCCTAAACCCTAGACCCCTACAGGCCCTAAGCCCTTTACGATTTGCGCTTTGGAGCGAAGAAGAAGTTCTGAAAGCCCTGACTGATGCCCTTTTCTTGAAATTTCACTTACATCGCAGGAACTGTCCTTTGGAAGGAGGGAGCCACACGCTTTCCAAAGCCCATGTCCTAAACACCCCCCCCCCCGACAGCAGGCCCAGACCACAAACCTCAAACGCTTGACACAAAAGGGCTCCCAACTCTCACGTCTGCCTTGACGATGGCGAGCTCACCCTCCTCCAGTCAATGAGAACTTGTATTACTCATGGTTATAGCAGGGCATCAGAATGAACAAGAGCATGGACGCTCGTATACCACATGATTCAGAGATTCGGCTTTAGGATTTGGGATTCAGGCATCAGCGCTTGAAATTGGAGTTTAAGGAGTGGGGATAATACTGCGGCGTTATCTGAGCAACGAACAAAATACCCTCGGGTAATTCATGGGATTAGGCTTTAGGGTATAGGCTTCAGGGTTGAGTCAAGGCCTTATGGTCTAGGGTCCCGGGTTTAGTCTTTGAGCCCCCTTCCCAGAAGGACTGTTCAATTATCATGTTGTGTCACTATGTTGGAGTGCTCACTACAGCATCAATTGGGGAAGGTGTCTTGATATGGAGAGTGGGGGATCTTAGTGTCTTAGAATGTTTTAAATATGGGGTCGAAGAGGTTTAGGGTCTTGGGTTGTAGAACGTCGCAGGCTGGGATGTTGGTGTTCAGGTTCGGGGCAACATGAGCTTGACCTCAAGGGTCCAAGCACCTGACCACTGAGTAAGTGGGACGTGGGAGATCATGATTGTAGTGTAGGTAACCGAAACCTGAATCAAAAAACACCTAAACCTTTTCTGTAGGCTGAGAGTCCCGGGATTGGTCTTGATCTCTTGTATACCTCTAACTTTTGCTATCCCTCCTGCCGTTACGGTACCTATTACTATCACCATTACTACTATTACTACTACTGTTGCTGTAACTATGACTACTCCTAGTAATATTATTGTTGCTGCCACTATCACTGTTATGAGCAGGAGTCAAGGCTCTGAAGCCTTTTCTTACGATGCATGGGACGCTACCCGGGCCCCTTTTAATAGTAGTCATACTTCACCAAAGGCTCCAAAACCCAATGTCCAAACCCTAGACCCAAATTTGTGGTGTCACTCCATTTCAGAAAATCCTCGTCGTAGAACCTGTGGTGGTCTTTCTCCTCTTATGATCTTTGTTACTATTCCGTTTAATGCCAACCTGTAACAAGACCTAACTATGGGCGCCGCACTCTGAATTCCACACTAAACTCTTCATTCTCAGTACTTTGAACCCATAGCCGTAGCCTTCCCCTCTCAACCCTAAACCCTATAAACAAACCTTAAACCCTATCCCCCTACAGCGGGGCCCACCCCAACGCTAAATCCTACACGCAGCTCTCTGGTGCCTGGTGCGCGAGCTTTGCCAGAGCTGTCGCTGTGAAGTAGAGAGGCAGGGAGGCTGGCACGCCAAGGATCTTCCTTTCAAAGAGTATAGGGTTAGGGTTTAAGGTTTACCTGAAACCCCAAGAGTATGTAGAACAATTGCCTTTTTGGCAATATTTCTGGGTTTGGGGCTATTCTTCTAGCTACTGTTGGGATCCAGGTAGGGTTTAGGGTTTCGAAAAGGGTTTAGGGTTCAGGTCGGCGCGCCAGGAATCCTGCTTTCAAAGCCCTTACCCAAAGGCTCTCATGTGGTTCCTTTTTGGGATTGGTTATCGTTTTCTTAGTAAAGACATTCATGCCCTTGGGTAAAGGTTCAGGGTTCAGGGAGTAAGGCTTTTTCCTCAAACCTAAACTGTGTAAGGCTTAGAGTTTAGGTCTCGGAGCTTAGGGCTTTGGGTTTAGGACTGTTTGAGGCTTTTGGTCTAGGGTTCAGGGTGTAGGTGCAGGATCCTAAAGCCTACACACTACAGACTTAGGGTTTAGGGTTTAGGGTTTAGGGTTGGTGGCCTGAGGAAAGAGAGGTCCAGAATGGTGCCACTGAAGCAAAGCCAGCAGCCTATAACAACCCAAGGGTCCGTGTAGATAGAAGGTTTTGGGGTTGTTGTGTATGTATAGGGTTAAGGGTATAGGTTTTTGGATTTGCATATAGTATATATTTAGCACCCCAAAGGGTTCCCTTGCAACCGCCTTGGGGCCCAAGTATATATACATATATCATATAGCTATATGAACCCCTTGGGCAAGTCACTGCAAACTACAAAGGACATCCTAAACCCTAAACTCAAGTAGAAGCCAACCTTGAACCTAGGGTTTAGGGTTTAGGGTTTAGGGTCTAGGGGAGGCGAAGCATCACACCCCAGAAAACTTGGGCCTCAAAGTGTTCAGGGTTTGGGATTTGGGTCTGTGGGGGGGTAAGCCTGGAGCGAAATGAAAGATACGCGGACAAACCCGGAAGCTCAAGATGATGATTTGCAGGGTGCACCATTGGGATCCTCAAGGGCATCCTGCTTTTCAAAAGGCCCAGCTATGGTATATTGGGTCTATTCTGCAGCTGTGTCAAATACCCAACAGCTGAATGCTTGGGATCGATGCGATAGTGAGGAGTTGGAGGAATGAACAGCAGTACTATTGACTGAATGTAGGGGTCACAAATTGTGATAGCATTTGGGAGCATATCACACTATGATTTAAAGTGATTCGTTGAAGTCGAACCCGACGCGCTTCAACATCAGGGCCAAGCAGCGTTGTCATGTCGATCTCCCGGACGTTCACCTGATGGCAAAGGAATGGGCTTACCGGCTTACTCAGTACTGAAGCTTAAACCGCAAAGCCCTAAAGGCCAAAACCCTTAACAAGCCTGCACTCAACAACTTAAAGACTTTAGCCGTGGGCTTAAAATGACTTGCAACTTCGCTTGGCATTGAGGCCTTCATGTTTAGGGCTGCTGTCTTTGAATGGTAGAACTAAGACGGGCCAAGGAGAGTACGTTCTTCCTGCACCTAAAACACTTATCGACCTACTGTAAGTCATACAGCCGCCAGCCAGAACTAAACCTATATCCTGCAGGAAGAGGGCTTCTCGAGGGGTACCCTGGACCTATTTCTCAACTAATTAACGGACATGGGTTCCTAGTAGGGATTATAGTAGGGACTATACGAAAATGTAAAAGGGACCCTATGTCCACCCTTCATGGTCTTTGGGTAGCTCTAATTTTGACAATGTCTCACATGTTGACCTTTTCCTGTCCTCTCGAACTGAACCCGTACAACGAGCCACCAAAAAGGCTTGTTGCAGCCCGAATGGACCTACTGTTGATACTAAAAATCTTGCATGGCCTTAATATACTATAGTACTATTATTCCCAAGGTATGGGTTACTTAGGGTCATGCAGGATCTTTTAGTATCCACCGTAGTTTATTGAGCAAGGCTCCCCCAGAGACCCTGTGGTACCCTTTATTCAAAATAGTGATGTGTTTAGGGTTTAGGGTTTAGGGTTCCAGAAAAACTATAACTTTGACAGTCCCCCACCCCCATACTGGGTCATAAGGAGGTTGTAGGTGTTGACTTTGAGAAACTTTCATCTGCTTAGCATCAAAATCAAGCTTTTCGGCTGCGCTGCCTGCAACTAGCTCCCCGATGTAGACGCATGATTAGTAAACCCCTTCCTTTTAAGGGCCTAGATATTAGGATCCCTCTAATAATCTTCATTAAGGGGAAGGGGTTTACTAATCAGGGGTCTGAGTTACAGCCACCAGCAAGAAATCACGTTGAAGTACGGGTTCAAGGATCAAATCAGGACTTAGGATTTAGATTTCAGGGTTTAGTGTTCGGGCTTCAGGGTTCATGGTTGGGATGAAGGCCACCATGGCAGATCGGATCTCAAAGTCTACCACAAGCTTCCCAATCCTTTCTAGTATAGAAGGAGCACAAACATCCCAATAAAGAAGTTTCAAGCTGGTGCGGATATTGCTATGTAGCGTATCCTAACACCTGAGGGTCTAGGGTTTGCGGCTTTGGGGTGAGGGTTCACACCGAATTACGTGAATTCATTGCAGGGTAGACACCTCATAAACGAACACGTCGTGTAAAAGACGTTACGCCGCATCCCTTAACAGTTCCACTGCCTCAAACCCTAAACCCTAAGCCCTAAGCCCTAGGCCCTAAGCCCTAAGCCCAAAACCTAAAACCTAAAACCCAAAACCCTAAGCCCTAAACCCTAAACCCTATAAGCCCTAAACCTCCTAAACCCTAAGCCCAGTCACAAGGATGCGGGGGCGCATGGTGATCCTCTGGAAGGCGAGGTGGTTGTCGCGCAAGGTGATCTCATCATCTCCTGGCTTAAGGTTTAGGGTTTAGGGTTTAGGGTTTAGGGTGAGGGTTTAGGGCTCAGGGTTTAGGGTTTAGGGTGGCGCGGGATTCAGGGATTAACAAGATACAATGCAGTCAGCTTTTTCATAGGACAACTTCAACAGCTAGTCCCCCTTAAGTAGATATACCTCATGTCCTATCTACTTAAGGGGGACTATATCCTAAACCCTAAACCCTGAATAGTAGTTAGTAGTTTCCATTTTCTTTCCAATTATTACAAAACCCAGGGTCCCCAGAATCTCTTTGTACCTCTCAACGTAGCTGGGAGTGGAGTCCAGGAACCCCAAAAAATGAACGCAGCAAACCCCAGGTTGCGATTGAAGGTTTAGGGTTTAGAAGGTTTAGGTCCTAGGGCAAGTCCCGGTTAAACCCTCAAAGCATGTAGAATAGCAGCCTTTCTGGTGGTGGTGTTTTATGGGATTTGGGCCACTGTTGTATATACTTTCGAGGCTCAGGCAAAAAGAGCTCAACATCGATAATTTTAATACTCAAGCCTTTTTAAACCGATTTTCCAGCAAGAACAGCTTCTTAGCCAACCAAGGACCCCACAGCCGCAAAAGCCAGCCGCCCTTTGAACCCGACCCTACACCTCGAAACCTCCTTCACCCTAAGCCCCACATCTTGAAGCCTTACCCCCAAACCCTGCATACCTGCCCCTGCGCCTGCATGCCCTGCCCTAAACCATAAAACTGCAAACCTGACATCCAAAAAGTTAATTGTACAACCGCAAAACCCCAAACCCTAAGCCCCGAACCTTAAGCCCCCAAACTTTGAAACGCTAAAGCTCTAAGACCCTAAACGTCCAAACCCTAAGACCCTAAGCCTCCAAACCCTAAGACCCACCACCCTAATCCCACAACCCTAAAAAAGCCCCCAACAAATAAACTCAGTCCAAGGCGAGCGAAACCTCGCAGATCCCCAGCTCATTGAATGCGGAAGCCCCTCCCCCTAGTCCCCTCCTCCTAACATTAAACCCCTCACCCTTAGGGTTATATGAGTTATATGGGGTTGATAGGGGCTATATAGGGGCTATAATGGAGAATCAAATGGAGAAGAACATGAAAAACGAAATGGAAACTACCTAATACTAAACTCCCCCACACACCTAATATTAAATACTCCCAATATACTATAATACACAACAATGGGGATAATCTAATATTAGGGGGGATATTAGGGGATGGGCTTAATCAACAGCCCACACAACTTAAGGCGGGGAATGCTTATCTCTAGGGGGAATGGATATTACCCTCAGGGTCCAAGGACCGAAGTAATGGGGCTTTAGGGCCCAAATACCATTAATAGTATAGTATTTGGGCCCTAAAACTCCTTGGACCCTTAGGGTTATTAAGTGGAGGCACTTATTCGTGGTTTGGACTCCGGGGAAAAATTAGGGGTAGGGTTTAGGGTATAGTATTGGTATAGGGTTTAGGAAATGCAGTCTAATGTTTCTTTCATAGGGTGTGCATTGCATAGGGTTGTCAAGGTTCAGGGTTGAACTTTGACAGATGCATGGCTTAGATTTGCGAACTGAGCTCGGGACCCAGGTCTTAAGAAATTCAGAGGCCGGGTTGCAGGGCCAGCACTGCAATAATGAACCCCAGTCCTTGACCCTAAACTCCAAGCCGAACCCCAGACATCAGCCTCCGAGGAAACCCGAAGCCCTACTTGAAGGGCAAAACTCGAAGCCCTGCTTGATGGGTCAAGGCGACTCCTTTGAGGGTTTAGGGTTTAGGTTTTGGGCTTTAGGGTTTAGGGCTTAACTGCGGATACCATACAGGACTCCAGGGGTAGAGCTGAACTCCAAACTAAGAAGCCTTAACACCCCCCAAACCCTCTACCCTGGAACCCCAAAAACCCTCAAACCCTAAACCACGAAAACCTACAAACCCCACAGCCCCAAAACCCTGTACCTGCTAAGTCCCCGGCCTCCGCTGGAGTAGTAACCCCAGGCCTGAGGCTCCATCACCTGTTTTGGGTTTAGGTTCATGGGCTTAGGGTTGGGTTTGGGGTTTAGTTGTTTGTTTTTGTTTTTGTTTTTTTGGGGGGGGAGGGGTGGGGTTGGGGTTTTGGAGTGTCAGGATTTGGGGTTTCAGGGTTTCACGGTGCCAGACGTTTGTAGGTTTTTGCGTTAAGGACGCGGAGCGGGGGGAGCTAGTGATTTAGGC